GAAGAAGAAACCCATGAGGAGAGACCAAAGAACATACTTTCAGTAGCGGATTAGACTGTTCTGTGAGTGCCTGTGATGAAATACATAGTGGGGTTTTATTGTACGATTAATTAAGAGGAAAATTACTAAATCTTTCAGGTCTTCCCTCCCTCTCTCTCATTTCCTCCTTCCCTCTTTCCCTTCCTTCTCCTCCTCCTCCTCCTCCTCCTCCTCCTCCTCCTCCTCCTCCTCCTCCTCCTCCTCCTCCTTCTTATTTGAGACAGGATTTCTCTGTGTAGCCCTGGCTGTCCTGGAACTCACTCTGTAGACCAGACTGGCCTCGAACTAGAGATCTGCCTGCCTCTGCCTCCTGAGTGCTAAGGAATAAAGGTGAGAGCCACTACTACCTGCTTCAGGTCTTACTTTTTATGCATCCATTTCTGTCTGTGTGGGTGTGTGCCACCTGTGCGCAGGTGCTGGCCATCAGAAGAGGGTAGCCTGTGTCTGGGAGCTGGAATTACAAGTGGTTGTGAACCAACCAGTGAAAGTCCTGGGGAATGAACTTGAGTCCTCTGGACAAGCAGCAAGGCCTCTTCTTAGTGGTTGAGTCATTCCGCTAGCCTTCTCTGTCGTCTTTTACATAAAGGACACATGAGGAAGAAAACCTTTACATAATCTAGATGTTTTGTTTGTTTCTTCTGATGCTCCTGACCTGCAGGAGAATATACATTGCACACAGGTAAATGTTTTGCAATTTTTCTATAGAATAATTTTAGTGCTCTTAAAAGGTATGGGAGCGGGCATGGTGTAGCATGATTTAAAAAATTCAGAGACAGATATTGGGGTTCAACGTGAAGATCAGAAAAGCAAAGCAGCCAAGCCACTAGAGAGCTTTTACCTCTAAGAAATCCTCAGACTGAAAGAGAGAGAGTTCCTGTTTTATTCTGCCTTATGTTCTCTAGAGCTGGGATTAAATACATGCGACTCCCTAGTACTGGGATTGAAGGTGTGAGACACCACTGCCTGCCCTTTAGCGGCTTAGTTTTCCCTTCTGGCCTTCAGGCAAGCTTTATTTATTAAAATACAAATGAAATATCACCACAGCATGGTAGCACCCATCTTTAATCCCAGCATTTAGGAGGGAGAGGCAAGCACATCTTTATGAGTTTGAAGCCAGCCAGGTCTATATATATAGTAAGTTCACATCCAAAACCCATGGCAATATAAGAAGACCCTGTCTCAAAAAATTAAAAGAGGAGAAAAAAAAAGAAAAGCAAAAAAGAAAATCTTTTAAAATCACATCCTGTGACTTGAAGAATGACAAACACTTGAAGCCGTTTTTAATTTTTATTATATTTTATTTCATGTGTGTGGGTGTTTTGTGCACATGCGTGCCTGTGCGCCACATGTCTGGTGTATGAGGAAAAGGGGCGTTGGATCTCCTGGAACCAGAGTTACAGATGGTTGTGAGTTGCCATGTGGATGCTGGGAATGGAACCCAGGTCCTCCGGAAGAGCAGCCAGTGCTCTTAACCACTGAGCCATCTCTCCAGCTCCGAGCCAGTTGTTTTTGCTAACACATTCTAACAACCCAGAAAGTCTCAACTGTATTATTTGATATAGTTGCTGTTTTGAGGATAAGATAATGTGGTATTTTCTACTTGGATATCAACTCTCAAAACACCAACCTCGAGTTAGTCATAAGGCTCCAAATCCCAAATCTTTGACTTGTTTCCATCGGCTATTTCCTTGTGGGATGGCAGAATTTATAGATGGACGAAAAATAAGTACAGGGCAATACAAACCCAACAGTGCAGTCATACCTATCTGTTGAAATAAGAGTGGCGGGGCTGCCGTCCCCAACATCCCAGCCGCCTGGCTAGCTTATGCCTGAAATAACAACACACAAACTGTATTCAGTTAAACACTACTTGGCCCATGAACTCTAGCCCTTACAGGCTAACTCTTGCACCTGGACTAGCCCATTTCTAATGATGTGTGTAAGCACCCTAAGGTGCGCTTACCGGGAAGATTCTAGCCTACGTCCATCCTGGGTCGGAGTTGCCTGGGAGAGCAGAGCCAGCCTGGCGTCTCTGCTCCAGAGAGCAGAGCTGTCCGGTCTCTCCGAGGAGTCTTACCTCACTTCCGCTTCCTCCTGTTTACTCCTCCCACCTATGTTTTAACCTATCAGGGCCAGCCAAGTAGTTTCTTTATTGCTCAATGACCTTCCTCCATCACCTATCCAACGTGCATTATGGTGACGCCAGGGAATTTTGAGGCGTGTGTCTCTTGGTGGGCCTATGGCTTCATGAGGCGAGAGCAGGGGAATGGGAACACGGGAGATGATGGTTCACTGGGTCCAGGGAGCTAAGGACAGCAAAGGTGGGAACCTCTCATTAGATCATAAAAAGCGAAAAATTTTGAAAACATACTCAAACACACATACACACATGCATGCACGCTTGGACAGACAGACAGACACAGAGAAAGACAGAGCAAGAGAGACAGAGACAGATACACACAGAAAGACTATATTTATCTTCCATTGTTCTGGTTAAAAGTGGGCAAGCAGCTAATAAAGTTTGCTGATCAGTAGCTCAACTTCTAACAAATGATGCTACCAGAATAGGAACATTCCCATTTCTTAGGAGTATCCCAGTCCCCAAAGAAGGTATACATAGGAACAGGGGTGGAGAAACTGAGGGGGTAGCTGAGGGTGGGGAGAAACTGAGGGGGTAGCTGAGGGTAGAGAAACTGAGGGAGTAGCTGAGGGTGGGGAGAAACTGAGGGGGTAGCTGAGGGTAGAGAAACTGAGGGGGTAGCTGAGGGTAGAGAAACTGAGGGGGTAGCTGAGGGTAGAGAAACTGAGGGGGTAGCTGTGGGCCAGAGTAAACAGTTCTTTAAGTTGCTTCTCTCAGGCATTTGGTCACAACCACCATCAGCAAGCCAACTAATACAGACGGCAGCAGAGCCTGGTTGTGCTGGCACGCATGAGAAAGCTTGTTGAAAGAGATTCACAATCTAATTTGCAAAATATAGACACAATTTAAATGTTTGTGAACTTGGACAAAAATATAGTCATTTATTAGATAGAATACTATGGAGTCTATAAAAAGGGCAGTTCCTTGAACATGGAGTACTGATATTCCCCCCCTCTGGTGTGTCTGTGTGTGTCTATGTGTGTTTGTGTGTGTGTGCATATGCATGTGCGTGTGTGCATGTGTGTGTGTGTGTGTGTGCTGTTGCCAGGACTAATGTCATCAGGAGACATACATCCCTGGACTACTTCCAGGTGGCTTTATCCATTTTCCCTAAACTTGAGGCTTACACATGCACCCAAGGGTTGAAATGTGGCTCAGTTAGTGGAGCATGCAAGAAGCCCTGGGTTTGATCCCCCCCACCAAACTTGGGGTGTGGTAGCACACACTTGTAAGCCATCATTTGAGAGGTAAGAGGGCCAGAAGTCCGGGCTCATCTTTGGCTGCGTATTGAATTCAAGGTGAGCATGTGCATACCGGCTACATGAGAACCCATCTTAAAACCCAAACCAAACCAAACAAACCTCAAAACCAGAATCAAAAATCAACCAACTCCATAAACAGCAATAACAAACTGCAGCAAGATAGACACACATTATAAAAGAGACAGATTCAGAACAGTGTGGTGCCGTTTCTGTTTAAAAATTTAAAATAGCTATTTTATGTATATTCTTGTTGGTTAAATAACTTCTTTGGAAAAAAAGACAATGAAATGACAACTTAGTTACCTTTGGGGAAGGCAGCTGGGTGAAAAGCACATGAAATTTTATTGCACAATTTGTTTGTTTATTTATTCATTTATTTGCTTGTTTCGGGAAAGGGTATCACAAGGTGGCCCTGACTGGCTGGAGCCCTCAATGATCCTCCTTCCTCAGCATCCCCTCCTCCAGTCCTGGGATTTCCAGCCAGCACACTGGGCAGTTGAACAGATTTTGTGCTATTCAATCTTTAACACCTTGAGCATTACTTGTTTTGAAAATGTTTATTAAAAAGAAAATCTACCAGTGCCCTTACTATGTGTGGCCTTCCAGGAAACTCTGCAATTTGAGAAGCAGTGAAACAGGTACGTGACGTAACAACAGTTAACGCTCTAATAACATGGTATGCAGTTTCTAATTCGCATTTTCAATAACAGAATTCTTTACTATATTATTTCTGAATGCAAAGAAAAATGAATGCAAATTATTCTTTAGTGAGCAAAGCCAAGATGCGTCGGTGAAACGAGAAGTGAGGGCCCTGAAGTCAGCTAACAGGAAATTCAAAACGCATCGCATCCCTGGAGGGCCACTGCTGTCGGTGTTTGCAGTGACTTTCTTGACACCACAGGCAGGTGACTCGTTACCACAGTTCCTGGACGCCAAGGGGTTAGCTGAGCGCTGACGCCAGTAGCGCAGACAGTTTGTCAGATTTTTATCTTTTCAATAAAACCTGACGTGCTGTTGTACATGGAGTTTCCAAACCCACCCAAAGGAAAGCTGTGGCCATCAGACATCTCGGAGAGGCTGTCCAGCACGAATCAAGGGAGCGGACAATGGCGGGACTTTTAAAGGACCGCGCAGTACAGTTTTCCGCGCTTGCCGAATTAACACACCAGTCTTTCCGACCCCGAACGGTGCGTGCTGTGGCCCTCATAGCTAGACCTGTTTTGTGAATGGATTATTTTAGATTCTGCACTCCCATCCGCCACCCCCAGGGCATCACAGGGCGAACCCGACCAGGGAAGGAACTGGAGCGGCGGGACCAGCGTGCACCGGCCTGGGTGCTGCCCGAAGAACCCATGTGTTGCCATGTAAAGTGTCTCTTATACTATTTACTTATTTTTTGGGGGGGAGGGTCGGGGGGGGGGAGAGGCATTTCCGAGAGTTCCAATCAGCCGGGTCCAATCTGAGATGCAGGTTCCCGCCTGGGGTCGGGCGTGGCTGCTGGCTGCCCTGCAGGCTCCGCCTCCGGTTCGGGCGAGCCCTTTAAAAGCCGGGCGGGCGGGTTCTCTCTCACCTAGCGCTACTTGGGCTGAAGGCGCGATTCCAGTCACCTCGGCTCTGCCAGCATCGCAGGTACCATGGCGCAGGAGCTGCAGCACCCCGAGTTTGCGCGAGCGGGCCAGCAGGCGGGGCTGCAGGTGTGGAGGGTCGAGAAGCTGGAACTGGTGCCGGTGCCGCAGGGTGCCCACGGTGACTTCTACGTCGGAGACGCCTACCTGGTGCTGCACACGGCCAAGGCGAGCAGGGGCTTCTCCTACCGCCTGCACTTCTGGCTGGGTAAGCGGTGAGGGGCACAGGGCTGCCCAGGGTCCCATCACCTGGGTGGGATGGGTGACAGTCAGCTAGCACCCTCTCCTAGCCCCAGGTCAGCTCCTGGTCGGCTGTAAATGGGATGAGGTGAGTCACCCAGGAGGCGAACCCATGTTGGCCTTGACCAAACCTCTTTTTGTAGTTCATGCTCATTCCTCCGGCTTTTCCCTTTAACCCAAACCCCATTCTATTCCTGGGCGGCTGCCTGAGAAAAACCAGGGTGCTGGCCAAGGACTGAGCGCCCTCGGGCAAGTTCAGCCCTGGTTTCTCAGGCAGGGCGGAGATGAAGTCAAACTTGTTTGTGGACATCTGCGCAGCTGGAGAGAAAACGCCACGCCCAGTTCCAAACTTTTATTTATTTTTATTTGCTGCCTTGGGGCACCAGCTTAGGCTTCTTCGCTAATTGAGACTAGCTAGCTTGTGCCACTCCAGACCAAGAGTCTCCGTGTGCAACAGCGCTTGCGTGTTTGGGGGAATGAATACAACCATCATCCATGTTTAAAAATTGCTCTGTATGGCTGGTATATTTCTTTGGATAGGCTGTTTCGTTCACAATTTTTCATTTATTATTCATCGGTGTTAACAAGGACACAGTGTGGACCAGAACAGCTCCATTCAGCGGTCGTAATTATTTGGAGCTGCTTTGGCGCCAGGCTTTCAGGACACTGGCCCTGTGTTCCACTGTCTCCACCTTCTACTTTTACCCGTAAACATCCTGAATGTTCAACCTCTCCTGGTGAGGTCCTGTGCCAGTAGGCACACCCCGCTTGACAACGTGCAGAAAATCTGAGCCTTCTTTTCAAACTCGCTTGCCTCCTGATACAAGTGTGTCTTTCGGTATATTTATTCCTGAGCCCAGGGGGGAAGCACACAAAAACCACACACTTTGAAAGCCACTGTTCAGCTTTAGTTTCTAACATCCGAAAATTTTTAAGGAACAAGTGAAAACATTTAGAAGTGATTCTCTAAGCATTAGCAGCCGCCGGGAGCGGGCATCTGAGACAGGAAACACAGAGAGGAACAGGGTGTCTTTTACAGTCCTGGCTGCTTGCTTACGGTGGTGGCTGAGCTCCCTGCTGTTTGTTTCCTCGGGTAATGCCTCTCCAGTCATACTACACAGCAATCTGTGTTCTATTCATGAAACAGTGACCCCTAGGTAGAACAACCTTCACACTGTGCATTTGGGTCTGGAGTGGATGTGTGTCTCAAGTGTCATCAGGGTGAGTTTAAATGGGAGAAAACTCGCTTGCTGTTCCCAAGTTGCGTTTGGCTTCATCCACAGAGCGCACACCAAAGGCTCTAAGTCTTCAATTCAGTGCATTTCTCTTGCCCAAGCAGGCGCCTTAAGTATTGTGTACTTAAGTATTGTGTAAGTATTAAGTATTGTGACACATTCATAGATTCACTTAAGCTGTTTCTATGCATTTGTTTGAAGCAGGGCCTTACAACTAGGCTGGCCCAGAACTCTCTGGAACTTAAATATAGCCCAGATTGGCCTCTCACGCTCTACCCTCCTGCCTCCATATCCTAAGTGCCTGGCTCACTTACTTATACTTCCAATTATCCATTTAGTGCGAACCAGTTTCACAATTATAATAGGACATAGTCTATTTGGGCAGAAATAGCTTACGATCTTAAAAACCTTCAAAAACTAAAGCGAATAGTATATTAATGACAATCTAATTCATCTATAAATTCAGGCTGCCCAGGAGCTTGCGAGTCACTTGAGACAGTTTATGAAACTTTCCAGAGAATTTAGAACCCCAAAGGATTTGTAAGGGGGAAAAAAAAAGATAAAACATTGGTAGAACGTGATTCGTGACCCGAGAGGTTTCCAGGCTCTGTGTGACAGGGACAAGAGCCGTGACAGACACAGGGAAAGGAAGGCAAGTGGGGAGATTCCATCAAAGGAAGAAGAGCCAGGACACCTTCAGTGTTCGCCAGGAGCCTTTCCTATTTCGGGTCTCCAGGCAGAGGCAGTCCCATCTGACAGAGTTTATTCTGATATCGGAATAGGGAAGAGTTCACGAAGATTAGTTAGAGGGGAAAAGAATGCTTGACTTCCTGAAGGAAATGAGGAAGTCAGCCAGAAGAAGTTAAGTTAAAGAGAGGCTGCCTGAGAGGAATGCCCAGTGTACAAAGGAAAGGATAGACTCGGCAGGAGGAAGCAAGCAAGGTGGGAGGGAGGGAGGCGGGACCGCGACCAGCAGAAAATGCTGACAGCCTTCCTTCTGGTCCGCCCATGCTGTTTCCACGCAGCGTGGTAATGCTGTCCAGAAGCAGTGAAAGGAAAAAGCTGTTGCCTGCGGCTCAAAATGTTTCATACTGCTCCTCGGAAGACATTTCGGCTTTGTGCCGAGCAGTTGAGCTGCACCCAGCTTTTGTTTCTGGTTCCTCACAGCATCCAGTCTGTAAAGATGCTATGGTGCTGCCCACCTTATTACAAACACCTTCCCTCACCCCTTCTCCTTGCCAGCTTCAGATGGTAATGTTTAAAAACAGCATTCAATGATGTCATGCCGTGTGTGTGTGTGTGTGTGTGTGTGTGTGTGTGGCCTTACCCAGGGCACTGGGACATAAAAGGACTAGATTATGATATATAACACAAAATATACAATCTCATAACATACAAGGGGATAGTGACAATGCCAGGGTGCTGATTGCTGGGCCAACAAGATGGCTCAGTGAGCGAAGGAGCTTGCTGCTTAGGCCAAGCCTGGCTACCCCGGTTCCATCCCTGGGACAAACGTGGTGGAAGGAGAGAAGCAGCTCCTGACAGTCGCTCTCTGATGCCCACACACGTGCTGTGGTATGTTGCCCACACTACGTAAACATGTGCAGAAAAAAATTAAAGAAAGTGGCTTGAGGGTCTTCTTGGCGATGGAGCTCTTTAGTATCTGGACTCTGGAGGCAGACGTGGAGATTAGCACACGCGGTAAGACTGCACAGCTCTAACCACATAAACCCATCCGTGGGAACACGTAACCCTGGGGAAGTACAAGTAAGGCTGACCGCATCCCTGTGGGTGTCGTGGTTGTGATCCCCTGTGCAAGTCTGTGCTCCCGACCTTCAGTCCTACTCTGTGCTGCGCCACACTCGTTTTTACAGAACGGCCAGTAGCTCCATATGTTTTCAGCAGACGCGACTCATCGTGTTGAGTAGTTAGAATCCTGTCTGGTCCCAATGTGGCAATGTCTTTAAAATTGGGAGTGAGAACTAGGTAGGTCTAGCTGTGAGACCTCTTTAAATCTGTGTTTTGTTTATAAATTCGTCCCATTTCCCAGCTTTAGAAGTTTCCCGCCACACAGATGAGTGGGATATACATACACACATAAAATATAAAGCAACGAAGACAGGGTGACATGGCAGACATCGGTAGACGGCTTAGGAAAACAAGGGATGAGGTCACAAACAGAATTCACATGGGACATCAAATGAAGTCATAATAAGCAGGATTCATACACAAACGTTTCTAGTACCCGCTAGAGTTGCATCATAACTCAATAGACTTTGACTCGGTTTCACACATGGAAAAGGTTGATATTGGCTTCTTTAAGACTTTTCAAGCTTTGCAGGCCAGGACTTTGGTTTATGCGTTCTGTTATTCCCTGGCCCAGCCCAGTGCACAACATCAGCAGACAAGAGCATGGTCTAATTAACTTATTTTCATCTCATTCATTAACTTCATGCCCACATTCATACCTAACTCAAAAGAGCCACGTTTCAACTCCTCAGATCAGAATGTATCTGTCCTTACATCTTCCTTGATAACTTTGATCTCAACCTTGGCTTAAACATCTCTCTTAAAGCGTCTCTGTATGAAATTTACACCAAGATCTGCTGTTACGAGACCTGGGAAAATGGGTCAAGAACAAAAGCAGCATCTTTTTGGATTGCAGAACTGCATGAGGATTTTTAAGGTGCATCTTAGAACACATCGGGCCACAGAACGTTTACAAAGCTGTTGCCATATAAGTACTGTTCTGGCTGCTGAGATTTTGTCTGAGAAGATCCTTGCTATGGAGGTGACCTTTGAACAAGGAAAGGGAACTGTGAAGGAGCTTGCATTTCCCTAGTCTTGCTAACTGGCTTCCTCTCCTCAATTTTGGTGAATTTCTGTAGGCGGGGACTGCTTGTTCATTCCCGGCCACCCAGACCTGAATAATCACACAGAAATTATACTAATTACAACACTGTTTGTCCTATTAGCTCAAGCTTCTTACTAACTAACTCATATCTTAAATTAACCCGTTTCTATTAATCTGTGTATCGGCACAAGGCTATGGCTTACTGGTAAGGATCCAACTTCGGTCTCCTTCGGCAGCTACATGGTGTCCCTCTGACTCTGCTTACTCTCTCTTTATATCTCTCTTCCGATTTCCCACCTGGCTTTACTCTGCTAAGCCACTGGCTGAAACAACTTTATTCATTAACCAATAAAAGCAACACATATACAGAAGGACACCGCACATCAAATTTCACTTGGCATTATTCTGGGAAATACGGTCACTGCTTCTAAACTTGTGGCTCATTGGGGAAAGTTATATACTGTGGCCACCAAAGAATTTACTGTTAATAGGAACTGTAATAAATAGCTCAGTGGTTGGGAGTGCTTCCTGCTTTTGCAGAGGACCTGAGTCGTGTTCTCAGCACCCACATTGGGTGGCTCAAACTGCCTGTAATGTCAATTTTAGAGGGCCCAATGCCTTTTTCTGGAGTACCTGTGCTCCTGTGCACATATCACACACAAACAAACATGCAAATCATTTCTAAAGATCTTTAAAACACATGTATTGTCCTTCCTAAGTGCTTGCTGTTTAGAGTTCTATGGACCTGTTCGGAAAGTCTTTTATAACCTCAAGAACTACTCAGCCTTTCCCAGTGCCCATGACCTCCACAGTATCATGGTATAACCAGGTTCATTTCATGGGGCTACTTGAATGCCCTTCATATACAACACTAGTACTGTGTGGCCCATAGTAAGAGTGCTATAAATGTGTTGGTATTTGAATTATTACTCATAATTTTCATTCAGCTCAGATGTAGTAAGGTTTATGAAGGTTTAGGGTTGTGGGATTTTTTTTTTTTTTAATGAACTGTGAGTCTTCCTCAAGCTATCTTGGTTCTGAACATCGCATACCGCATAGACACCGGTGCAGAGAAGCCTGGGTGGATTCTATTTCATAACTGTAAAAGCTAATTGTATACTGCCTTAAATTCTATCAGATGCATAGCATTTGAGAGACATCAGCACGTTAGTTCCTTCCGTCAGTGACTATTTCATAGAACAAAGTGAAGAGATAACAAAGGGGGGGGATAGGATCGAAACCAGAGGATGGGTGAAGCTTTATTCATTTTCCTATCTTAAAAACCATGGCGTTATCTCCTTATGGCCCACAAGAACTTCTCCCCGGCACCCTGTGAGCCTGGCAGAGTGATGATGATGAAGGAGCCCAAGGTGTTTCCTGGCAGGATCTAACTTCCGTATGAAGTGAACGCTTTCCTGAGTCCCGCTAGCGTGGATCGATTTTTCCCCAAGCAGATCTGCGTGGTAGTGTTTCTTTACATTTTTTTAAAAAAGAAACTGGAAAAGTCAGGAATATGGAAAACTTCTGGGTACGAGCCACATAGCATCACATGTGGCTCCTGATAAGGGGTCTTTCGGCAGCTGACTGCTGTCCTGAAACATCACCACAACGAAAGCTTCTCCATGCTAACCTGTCCATTGATGTTGCCATTGTTCTGCTGGGAGAGGTAGCTTTAGCCTAACTGATTACCCAATACAAACTGGGTCAGCCCTGAAACGGCATACGCAGGCAACAAAGATGGGCTCAGCAGGTTGGATCAGTCTAGTTGTGTGTGCCTGTATCTGTCTATATCTACAGTCAAAGTACAAGAGGATATCAATTTGAGAATGAAGGAACGGGAGGGGGGTGGAGAGAGGAAATGAAAAGGGGGAAGCAGTATGATTATATCTAAATTAAAATATGTAAATAAATAAATATATACGTATGTACGTACATACATACATGAGAGCGTCTGGCGTCCTTCACATCCCCCGTCTGCCTTCTCGCTCTTCCTCCAGTAACTGAGGTCTGTCTTGTCTCAGGAAAGGAATGCTCCCAGGATGAAAGCACGGCAGCGGCCATCTTCACGGTCCAGATGGACGACTATCTGGGGGGCAAGCCCGTGCAGAGCAGAGAACTTCAAGGCTATGAGTCTACTGACTTCGTGGGCTACTTCAAAGGGGGTCTGAAGTACAAGGTAAGCGCCTCTGTGGGACGCGGTTCATTGTGGCGTTTTCAAAGGGGTTCTCTTCCTGGTTGTTCACACTGCGTGTCTTCAGGGATCACAACTTTTTGGAGGGCACGGATTTGGTTTTCGTTTGGTTTTAGACTCTGTGTGAATGTACGTGCATGTGTGTGAGTGTATGATTTATCTTCATATTTGTCAGTAGGTACACAGGAAAGGAAACCCAGCTTCAGAAAGTCCAAGACACTCTCTCTTGTAGCCTTAGGCTAATCTCAAACACTCTGTGGTCATAGATGACTTTGAGTTCCTGATCCTTCTGCCTCTACCTCTCAAGTGCTGGGCTTATATGTGTGTGCGGCCATACCTGGTCTATGCTGTGCTTCAGATGAAGAGCCCAGAAATTTCCAAATGCTGAGAAAGCATTCTTCCAATTGAGACACGTTCTCAGCTCCTTGGTAACAAAAAAAACCCCAACTGTGTAAGTATTAATAAATAGGTCTACCTCCTAAAGCAATGCAAAGGCTAGACACCTTTTGCCTCACCCTAATTCTCGCAGTAAGCTTTGCACTTGAACCATCCTTCCCTAGTCCTTCCCTCCCTGCCCATGAATTCAGCTAAAACACCTTCCACAGACAGATACCCAGAAGCAAAACCTCTCTAAGGAAAACAAGGGCCATCAGGTGATCCCCTGCTGCCTCGCTCCTGCGGACTACCTAAGACCTTAGAGCTAAACAGGACTTCTGAATGTAGGTCCGATGGAGTCACCTTGCTAGAAAACATTTCATCCAGCCAACTAGCTTGCTGCAGGGGAGTGCAGAAGCTTTTCAAAACCCTTGGTTTTCTGGGATGTACAATGTATTTCATACTAGTTCCCCAAACGGACACGATAAGGGGATTAAGGATTACGGTAAACACTAAGATTCTAATATACCACATAATCAGGATGAACTAGGCTAGTAACAGGATCTTGAAAACCAAATTCTAGGATACATATGCAAAAGGAGGGATAATAAAAGAGTAACTTTGTAGTTGTTTGAGTAATAATCTTCTATCAACTTCAAAGTTGCCACAGATCAGCATTTTTCAGAAAGGGGATGTTTCTAAGTGGAGGCCATATAGACCATCGGGGTCAGCTGATTCTCTGATCAGCCACATGATGCTAATGTGGGTGCCTGCAGGAATGACAGCATGCTAGGATGTGTGGCTAACATCAGAGATAGCTAGCCACTCAGAATGGAAGAGGTGACCACATGGTACTGCTTCAGCCCGTTTTTACTTTCAAGTTTATAGATTATACTAATCATGACATGCAAAAACAATATTAAATATATCCCCATTGGTGCATTTACCATTGGTTCTGCCCTGTCAGGTAAATGAAGCAAGGCTCAGAGAGTCTATGTGACTTACGACAGTCTCTGCTAGTCAGTGACCATGTGACTGTCTGACCCTGACTGTCTGACCTCGACACCTAAGCTGGTAATCACCATTCTCTGCTTCTCTCAACATAAATAAATGACTCAGACATTAGGACAGAGATAGAATGGAAGAGTACCCGGGAAGCAGTTTAGTGTTTATTTTGAGTGGGCAAACTTGAGAGAGCCTGCCATTAGCAAGTCTATCAAAATCATGCCAAGTTGCCGTCCACCATGTAAAGGTTCAGCTGGGAGCTGCCAGGATCATCTTCCCGCCTCAGAGTTTACGTCATTTTTCTTTAGGGAATTTTCAAGGCCAGCAAAGTGGCTACCAAAGTCCATTACCACTGCTCCCTGGCATTAAATTTCTGGCTCAGATTCTTTTCTCAAGTCGTGATTGTAGACAGCGACCGGCAGACGCGTTTCTCTCACAAACCCGTGCTTCTGGGTCCCACTGACTAGAAGGGTCATCTGCTTAGCTGTGACCCTTCCTAGGTGGGAGCATAAAAGGTCTGGAAGCGTCTAGTGCTAACCCAGGCAGTGTTCAGGAAAGAGCTACTTACCACTGCATGTGTGTGGAGGCCAGGAGACCACTTGGTGGAGTCAGTTCTCCCCCTCTACCTTTCTGTAGGTTCCTGGGATTCAACTTAGGTCAGCAGGCTTGCCAGGAATGATTTACCCACTGAGCACCTTGCCAGCCTGACAACAGACAGCTTCTTTTGGGTAAATGGGGGACAGAACTTGTGGCATCAAATATTAGAAGCAGTATTATTTTTAATTTTAAAAATTATATTTATTTATATATTTATGAGTGTGCGTGTGTGTGTGTGTGTGTGTGTGTGTGTGTGTGTGCTGTGCCTCCTTTGTGGAGGTGAGAGGAAACTTGCCGCAGTCAGTTCTCTCCTTCCACTGTGTGGGTCCCGGGGATCAAGCTCAGGTTGTCAGGACTGGCGCCCAGCATCTTTACCTACTCGGCCATCTCACGGGCCAGAGAGCGGATTATGTTTTTTTTTTTTAAAGAATGTTAAATTTTCAAGGTATAAATTGCTCTGATGGTTCACTCCATGGGATTAGGCTGAATGTTTTATATGTGGAAAAAGAGGCCAGAGATCACAGTCTAGATTTGATTCTACATTATAACTTCTTCTTTTCACATACTATCCTTTACTATTTTTAATGAAACAGATCACAATGCATTTCTACTTATTTTTAAAACGTGGCGTGTTCTTGGAAAGCTGAAGCAGGATGGTTGTAAATTTGAGGCCATCCTGGGCAACTTAATAATGCTGTTTAAAAAAATGTGTGTCTATGTATGTATGTGTGTAATGTATATATGTATAGATATGTGCATATAGATATATAAACATAATAGGGTATGTAGATATGTAAGCTTATAATACAGCCTCATAATTATGTATGTCATCTTATTGCTGATTATGAAAGTAAAGAAACAGTTCCTTACATCTAATTAGGAAAAGAGAAGGATGTGAGAGGTGACGGCAGTACTCACAAAGCTGAAGCGAATAACAGTCTTCTCTTCAGAAATGCACTTTCAGTGCCCTTTGTTTTTTGCTCTGTTTGGGGCTGTAGAATCAGGATCTGTATCTGCCTTAATTTAAAACAAAAATACTCAGTCCTGGGTTTTTTGTTTGTTTTTGTACCCCTCCTAGGAACAGCCCACCCTTAGCCACATCTCTTTCCTTCTCTGCTCTGCAACAGGGGGATGGTTGGGACCCTGTCCTTTGTGAGTGACAATGGAAGGCTGGGTACCTGTTCTGAGCTACTGTACTTGAGGCGCCTCGTCTCCAAGTTTCCCAGCCTCCTGCTGCTTTCTTGCTACAGTCTGTCTGCTCATGAGTCACCTGGGAAACACGAGGGCAACCAACGTTGACTTTTCTTTTTATGCAACGGGTCCTCAGTGAATATTTTTAATTTTATATTAGATTTTTATGATGGGGGAGAGCAAAGTAACCGATTGGCCTGTTGATTTTACCAATAATTCTCTTTGCTCGTTTCACGTCCCACCCGTCCTGCCGTGGCGTCTTCGCCCAGGCTTGGCCCGTGCATTCTTGCCTTGCGCCTGTTGTGTCTGCGTCAGTCTCACTTCTCTGTTTTGTGTTGTGTTTTCCTCCCCATGACCAGGCTGGAGGCGTGGCTTCCGGACTAAACCACGTTCTCACCAACGACCTGACAGCGGAGAGACTCCTGCATGTGAAGGGCCGGAGAGTGGTCAGGGCCATGGAGGTTCCTCTCAGCTGGGACAGCTTCAACAAGGGCGACTGCTTCATCATTGACCTTGGCACCGTAAGTCTCCTGGGCACACACCTTCAAAGATAACCACGTCCACACACTTGGCAGCGGTGCAAATGACACACAATTTGAGACTTCAAGGTTTTTTTGTTCTCTGACAGGTTTAGAATAGAGGAGTGATTTGGTTCTTCCTACCATAGAACAGAAACTGAACAATATTCAACATATTTCCCCATCACTCTGGACAGATTTCCACTGGCTATTTTTGTCTTTGATTGTGGGTGAGGAAATACGGCTTGAGGTGGAGGAAATGATTCTCTAAGCAATCAAAGGTTCCAGAATCTAAGCTGGCCATATAATGATTCTAAACATACGGAAGAATTAAGAAGAAAATATTTTAAAATGTAAACATACATGAGTACGTATGTGTGCCATAATGCTTCATATTTTTCCCGTGATCTTAAGGTTATTAGATGAAAAACCAGGAGTACAAATATTCTCATCATCTTAATAGCACAGGCAGTGGTATTTTGTATCAAACTTACTTTTTCTCCCAGGAAATAGGCTCCTTTAATGTCAGGCACATTTCTTAATCATTTTTTGTTATAACAAAGAAGAATTTAAGGCCTTATGTTAGAACTGGTTTATATGGTGTCTTTTAGACTTTCAAAGTCATAGTAAAAGGCATTCCCTGCTCCTGAAGAACCATGTGCCGTGGCATAGAAAGGCACGGAAGATGGATCCTCCCTCTTTTGATGTAATTCACAGCCATGTTCTGAGAGTCATTTCCTACACTACAACAAGCCGTACAGAGAGTCCATGACTTCAATTAGCACGTGGTTTGAATTGCCGAGACCCCATTCAGGGTTGCACAGCCTGTAAATGGTGAAGGCAGAGCTGGACTTCAGGTTTATCTGATTCTCCTCTAAGCACTGTTTTACTGTCGCTAGCTGGCTGTATTTATGATAAAGCAGCAGACAGACGCCAAAGGTTTATTCTACTGCAGCGAAGGGAGCAGTAAGGACTCTAAAAGTGGAGCTCTGTGGTTAGTTTCGTGTGAATAGAATTAATTTGTCAACAACAAAGGCCTGAAGTGTGTTAAGGTTATAGTTTGGAGAATAGCCCCGAAGCACAAGTTTCACCTGCTCCTCTAAGTTAGGGTGTGTCTATAGTTTCAATACTGTTAGCCTATAATTTGATTGTTCTGGTTCATAGCAGCTTGTGTTTGCTAATGAGATTCCACTAATGCCAATGCTCAAAATACAGTCCCCAGTCCTGCACTGGGTGTCTGAACAGGCGAATGGCTGCTTTCTTATTCTGAGTTGAGTCAATTTCATGAGGAATTCCTTCCAACTTTAAAACCCAATCCATTCCACTAGCCATATTTGAGACCTGGCTTTTATGTCTGGGCACAAACCAGCTACTGGGCTACTCTCTCATTACCCTACACCAGAAACAAAGAAATGCTTATTAGACGTAAAAGACTGGTTCTAGGGATTGCAGCTTGGTTATCATATACTTAATGGCTGATATCCACATATAATGAATACATACCACATTTATTTTTCTAGGTCTGGGTCACCTCATTCAGGGTGATTTTTTTTCTAGTTCCAGTTATTTGCCTGCAAATTTCATGATGTCATCTTTTTAAACAGTGGAGTGATACTCCATGCACCACATTTTCTTTACCCATTCTTCTGTTGAGGGGCATCTAAGATGTTTCCAATTTCTTGCTATTATGAATAAAGCAGCAGTGGACATGGTTCAGCAAGTAATCTTGTGGTAAAACGAAACCTTCTTGGGGTATATGCCCCAAAATGGTAGAGTTGCATCTTGAGGTAGATTGACTCCCATCTTTCTGAGGAATCGCCACACTGATTTCCATAGTGACTGTGCAAATTTGCACTCCCACCAGCAATAGATAAGTGTTCCCCTTATTCCACATTCTTGCCAGCGTGAGCTGTCACTTGTGTTTTTGATCTTGTCAATTCTGACAGGCATAGATGGCAACTTAAAGTTGTTTTGATTCATTTCCCTGATTGCTAAAGATGCTGAACCTTTCTTTAAGTGTTTCTCACTCATTTATGTTTTCTCTACGGAGAATTCTTTGTTTAGAACTTACCTCATTTCTTATTATTTAGTTTTTTAATATTTAGTTTTTTGATTTCTTTATATAGTTGGGATATTAATCCTCTATTCAATGTGGAGTTTGTAAATATCTTTTCCCATTCTGTGGACTGCCACTTTGTCTCAATCCTTTGTTTTATACGAGCTTTTGTGTTTAATGTATCCCATTTATTAATTGCTGATCTTAATGCCTGTGCTAATGATGTTCCGTTCAGAGAATCTCCAATACGAATGCGTTCAAAGCCATTCCCCACTTTCTTGTCTATCAGCTTTAGTGTATCTGGTTTTATGTCGATGTCTGTGACCACTGAGACTTGGGTTTCGTGCAGGGTGATAAGCATAGATCTACCTGAATTCTCCACACATCCAAATCAGGTGTCCATAGGTGTGTAGGTTTATGTCAGGATCTTTAATTCAATTCCACTAACCAACATTTATGATTTTGTGCCAACACCATGCTGTTTTTATTAATATAGCTTGTACTACAACTTTAAATTAGAGAAGGTGATACCCCCAACAGTTCTTTCATTATTCAGGATTATTTTGGTTATCGTGTGTGTGTGTGTGTGTGTGTGTGTGTGTTTTCACATAAAGCTGTCCTTTCAAGATCTTTGAAGAGTTGTGTTGGCATTTTGATGGGGGATTGCATTGAATCGGTAGAGTGCTTTGGGTAGGATGGCTACTCCTTCATTGCCACCAAAAATAAAGAAATACTTATCGGGAGTAAAAGCCCAAAGGTATTATTAAGCTACACAGTTCTAAAAATCACCTGCAATTGTCCCTTAAACCTGCGCACTTTTAAGTGTTTGTTTTAGCTTTTAATACATATTTTTAAAGCCTTCTACAAGTGGTTTGCATATGAAATAATAGCATTTTCAAAGACAAAGAAGAAAGACCTCAGTTCTAGTTTGTTACAGTGGTCTCAGGTTCTCATCTGTGAAGGTAATTTGATTAGGGGATCTCTGGAGACCTTAAACAAAAAGCCCCTTCCAGTGCCCTGATTCATCGCATTCACAAGATTTTACGTTCTGAAGGGGATGCATTACCCCATTGTTGTCCAAATGCCATAATCCATTTAGTTATCACGAATGACTTCCAAGTCAGCTTTCTAACTATCTACTCTTTGACCTTGGGCAAATGATTAACCTCTGGAACCTTGGCTTCCTCTTAGTCTCCACATCCTGACCTGGCTTCTGATGCTCTCTCTAGCCTCAGCTGACTGGGATTCACCCAGCATGCTCATGCCTGAGAGAGAGCAGTCATCACTTCAGTTCTCTGAAGGAACAAAGTCCTCGAAGGTGTGTGTGGGTGATTCCTGTTGAGTGGTGACCCCAGAGGGGCCTGAGGCTTCAATCTCTATGTCACACACTCTTGTCACTGCGCAGAGTACGTGCTGTGCTGTGTGAGATGGCGTGGGGCTGAGCGTCTTGAAATTGTTTCAGAATCTGCTGAATTCAGAACTGACAATGCAAGTCTCTCTGTCTAGGGTTCTACTGAGAGTCATTTTTGTGAAATTATTACTCTGTGAAACGAATGATGAGTTTCACAACGGGCCAGGTAGTTGGATGGGGTAGGCAGGTTAAGGTTCCAATGACACGTGCTTCTTCTCATAGGCAATGCCAGCCTATGGGTCTATGCCCATAAAACCTCAAGGGTTCAGGGTATGCATAACTCAAAGACATCATTTTGTTTAACAATAAATAATCTTTATTGTAGAGATTTATTGTTGTTTTCAGTTGTGTGTTTGCTTGTGTGTCTGTGTGTGAGTATGCGCGTGTGTGCTGACAGGGTCCAAAGAAGGCACTGAAGCCCCTAGAGCTGGAATTGCAGATGACTGTGGGCCACCCAGTCCTGGTGTTGGTAACTAGCTGGGGTCCTCTTCAAGAGAAGTATACACTGTTAACTGCGGAGCCATTTCTCCAGCTCCCAAATTATAGAGTTATCTTCAGCAAAACTCAAGTTTTCCCTGCTTTTAGGCTTCATAGATGAGATGAAGAGGCAGCGTGTTCAGCTACCTCTCAGGGCACGGAAATTTCCTGCACCCTGAAGGGTACCCAGGCAGGATCCTCTTGACTCTGCAGTAAGTGACCAGGAGATCTGTGCCTGAGTCACTAACCTTTAACCCGTTGACTTGTTGCTCAAGGTTTTGAATGGTGGTGATAAGATCTTTGTGATTATCTTGATAACTTTATTTTGGGGTGTGGCGTAGTGAACAAAGAGGGACCTTGAACAAGATTATTCTGAACCCTAATATTTCAAGGGTAGCTTTAAGCTAATCATTCAAAGACTACTAGCTGCTTTAGAGGGCACGGACTCGAAGCCTGTGCAGTTTGCTTTACCACGCAAGTTTGACAGATGCAAGTTCAATGCCCAAAGCTGTTGCTGAAGCAAAGCCAGCTGGACAACACTTAGGTTATATTTATAACCTAAACCCTGTTTTTAATAATGTTTGAGAAATGTCGCTTTTGTGATAAACAGTATTACTAACGTGAATTCTAAGTGCCTTAGAAACGCTCTCTCCTGGGATCTTAGGTGTGGGGACATTCTCTCGGCTTAAGGTGTGAATTGCTGAGCATGAGACATGAGATTGTAGTGTTACGAGTTTGATCAGTCAGTATGAAAGTAGAGAAAATAGTGGCTATTTTAGGGAGTGGTTTTTATATTTGTCATTAGAAAAATAACACGGGAGGTGGCTAGATCTTCGCCAGAGCCAACATTTGAGAAGTAGAGGGGAGAGGGTCAGGAGTTCAGGTTCATCCTTGGTTACTGAGTAGGTTCAAGGTCAGTCTGAGCTAAATGAGACCTTACCTCAAAACCAACAAAACAACAATCCAACAATGCACTCATAACTCTCCAGGCCCAGGACGTGTGGCTGGCTTTCACAAATGCCTGTGAGTCAGCCACAAGTGGAGAAGGAGGCATGGAGG